ATATATATATGCATATATATACAATGTATATATAAATATATATATATATATATATATATATATATGTATACAAATATATATTTATACAAATATATATATATATGAATATATTATTTATATATGTATATATATATATACATATATTTATATATATATATATATATATATATATTGCATATTTACGTACATATATATATATATATATATATTTATATATATGCATATATATATATATATATATTGTACATATATATATATATATATATATACATACATACATGCATACATATATATATAATTCTTCTTTTGAAGCATTTCAGTTTGCACCCGGGCGAGATAACGGTTATCCAGCTTTTTCGATCACAAATCGAGCGTGTTGTGAAGTGTGTAACCGCATTTATATATAAAACAATTCAAATGGCAACCATTCATGTTTTTATAACCGCTCGCATGCCGCGACCTGAAACGTTAAAGGATATTGCAGACATTTTTTCCTTTCAATATATCATCTGTGCTGATTCTACCAAGGAACAACTGCCTACTGAAATACATCTACCGACCCAGAGCCCTGTCCACATTTGCTCTGTACGTTATGATGTCTTTCTCAGCAGCATTAATCATCTTGCGGTGCCCATCCTTGCCGGAGAGAAACGCTGCTATGCCTGGGTGTGCACGAGTCTGTTCCAGCAGGGCTGCTGTGAGTGGATAGGCACTCAGCGCCTCTGGTATGGCGGCCACCACTTCTTCCAGTACTTCGGAAGCGTATACATCTGCATAGGTCAGTTTAGGCCCAACAAGGAAGCCGCCAATGTACCCGTCCTCCTGGAGTGGTTGAGGATAGGTGCAAGGGTGTTAGAGTCTTGGATGTTGTGCATGGTCTCGGGATACAGTACAGATTGCATATCCAAGATGTTCACCTATATTTTTATGAGTGTAGATTTTTAAAGGTACATGTGGCCCTGGATACAAGGAAATAGAGCTGAAAGTGTTGCAATGATTTCAGCAGTCACTGCGCATTCCATGACACACGTATCGATAACTTTCATATGCAAGTGTAGATATATACATTAATACACGCGTATATATGTCCGTCAAGTGCACACACAGACATGCTTGAGATCATATTTGCAAGATGGTGCCCGCAATTCCTGTTTGGTTTGCTTGCAGCAGTATATGGTTACACGAGTGCCTTTGATTTTGGGCACAATTTGGGTTTAGTTATGGTTTCTTCCATACTCGCGATGCAAACGGATATGGTATGTGTACCAGTATATAGACAGTTCAACCCCTGCACATCAAGAAACCTAAGAACAATGGCTCTTGGGAAACCTACCTCTCTATTCCTCTTTAGTTGTCTCTCAAACCTGGGTAGAAACCTGCCGTTGCTCTGCTCCATACAATGTGCAATTGGAAATCTGATCAGTTCATTGACTCAACGCTCCAGAAGTCGAGGTTCTAATGCACGACCCCGCAATCGAAAAAAACAGGACAGGGCATACCCCTACTCTCGCGAAATAGGACACAAAAACGGGTTCAACACCCCTCAGAAAGCTTGTAATTAAACAAACGCGAGACCAAGGACGTCGGTGAGCACACTACCCAGCACATTCCGATGGTATAAATAGCACTTCAGTGTATAATCATTCCCGGGTCTGGAGCAACGGGTAGTGTATAGCGTAGTACGACATTCAGCCTCACCAGCTATACGAATGATCACGCCAGGGTCAACGCCTGCACACAACCCAAGGGAACCCCAACGGTATCAAACCTTATAAACATAGGCCATACACACCCAAACCATTCCAACCCGTATTCAACAGTATATATATAAATGTAAGTCTATAACTTCATATATATGGACATTAATATAAATATAAACGTTCATATAAATATATATATATATATATACCGCTTGCAGTTTAGTCAGTCGCTCGGGACTAGGATCGGGCCCAAGCCAGTACTCCCACGCTCCATACGCGTCGGCCTTATAATCGCGCAGACACTCGGCTATGATGTCGCACTGTGTTTTGTGGTACACATCTGGACTGCCATCCATACCGTGTTTCGCGGCGAGATAGCGCACAATGGCTCCCGACTGGTAAGAGCGTTCAAGTACCAGTTAGCAAGGATGGGGATTTAGACCGATACACACACATATAGGAAATATATAATGTATACATATAAAAAAGTATAAGTCCAAGTATAATTATATATATATATATATATATATATATATATATATATGTATATATATATATTATATATATATATATACATGTAAATATAAATATACAAATTCATTTTCAAGAAGTCAAGAAGCACAGTTTTAAAAGAATGTACACATACTCGTGTAGAATACAAGGGTCAGCTTGAACTCGTTGATACGTCTAGCAAATCGAAAGAAAATGTGAAGCTTCATTATTCTAATGACAGCTCGCGTGCCCATATCTTTCCAATCAGAAGGAGTGTTTTCTAAAACACTATTTCGCTATCAACCAACGATCATATGTATACTGAGAGATTAACTGTGATAACGCTGTGACACGGTCAACATTCGATTGAACGCATAGGCAGTGATTACATATGACAGCACTATGATACTATCAAAAAGTTACCATACAGGTATTTGACGATTATTTACGTAAATTGTCTTACCTGAGAAAGTTTTAATCCATCCATGCAGAGTAACGGGACCTGTGCGAAAACATTATACAGGTTGAGAGGATGCCCCGTTAGTTTATTTGGTGAACTTGACGAGGTGGCGCCCAGCTCAAACACGCCCTAAGCAAAACGGTCTGATGCAAGAAAATGTATATGCCTAAGAGACCTTACATCATACACATACACATGTACATAGACACGTATATATATATATATATATATGCACACACACGCGCGCGCGCGTACAAACACACACACACACGCACACATATATACATATACATATACAT